AGAGAGAGAGAGAGAGAGAGAGAGAGAGAGAGAGAATCCCAAGCAGGCTCTGCACTGTCAGCACAGAGTCCGACTCAGGGCTTGAACCCAGAAAGCCCCGAGATTGTGACCTGAGCCGAAAGCAAGAGTTGAACACTCAGCTGACTGAGCCACCCAGATGCCCCAACCAATGTATTTTTAATCATTGGAGGTGTACTGTCAAAGTAAATTCCTATTAGTGGCCTTGGCCCTAGGATATAGGCCCTGGTCCTATATCCTATTAGGATATGTATTATATTTTGTTAGATATTGCCAAAAATAAACATTAGAAGGACAAGCAACAATGTTTATAAAAGACAAGAGCCTTATGTACAGCATGTAAAATCTCAAAAAAATAATTTAGATGAAGGCTAGCAACTTAAAAGAAAACCAAAATGGGGGCACCTGGGTGGCTCAGTTGGTTAAGTGTCCGACTTTGGCTCAGGTCATGAGCTCACAGTTCGTGGGTTTGAGCCCCACGCCAGGCTCTATGCTGACAGCTCAGAGCCTGGAGCCTGCTTCAGATTCTGTGTCTCCCTCTCTCTCTGCTCTTCCCCTGGTTCATGCTTGCTTGCTTGCTCGCTCTCTCAAATATAAATAAACATTAAAAAAAAAATTAAAGGGGCACGTAGGTGGCTCAGTCAGTTAAGCGTCTGACTTGATTCAGGTCATGATTTCACGGTTCCTGGGTTCGAGCCCCGCATCAGGTTCTGTGCTGACAGCTTGGAGCCTGGAGCCTGCTTGGGATTCTGTGTCTCCCTCTCTCTGCCCCACCCCCACTCACACTCTGTCTCTCCCAAAGATGAATAAACATTAAAATTTTTTTTTTAAATCAGCTTGCTAAGGAAGTGACCCAAATGACGGACGAACTCAAAAAATGTATAAACCTTGCAAGTAAAGACAGGACACTGAAGATATAAATCTTCCATATCCTGCTGTGGGCAAATAAATGGGAGCCATTTTGGAAAGCCTTTTGGAATCTACTCCAAGAGCTGTGAACATACTCCAAGAACTAACAATTCTCTTTTTGGACATAAGTTTATTCATAGGTGTCCTTGAACTTAAAAAACAAAACTAAACCCTCACCTACTATCCCTTTATTTTTTTATGTAGAAATTTAAAATCTTGAAGGGAAGTTTAAGTCACAAAGCAGGGCTTACCAGCTGGGCGTCAGGTCACTCCCTATGTGTTCCAGGTGACAGCAGCTCTTGAGGTATGGATAACGGCCTTCCTCTTCCCACATGTAC